TAATAAGAGCCACATGTAATAATTTTGACACATTTTTGAATGTTCAATAACCACCGAAATAATTAATATATAATTAAATAATTGTTCACGAAATGTCTATTCACTGAAGAAGTTAAGGAATTGTAATTACCACCTTTAATCGATCGAAAACGACGAAGTACTCATTGATCTTTTATTTGTTATTCGAAAATCTAGATAACGAATTCCTCCATCTCTGCTTTAGGGTTAGTGACGATCCCGTATCCAAGAAACGTCCCGAATGCACTCCATCGAAGACAGTTTATCCTCTTTGAACAAGTTTACCTAATTCTCTGCCAAAGAATCCCAGTGTCCTTCGTCACCGGAACCAAGAATCACGTGCATCGGTAACCCGTTTTTTAGTTGTCCGACGACAATCAGCGCATCCCCCGAAAGCAATTAGCGCCCCCCTCCCTCTTTCCTTGCTCCGAGATCGCGGCCGCTTCCGGTCGCGATAGTGGTTTCTGATCGGTGCCAACAACCTGGCACGTTTAACCAGCGGCGCTCGGACAATGCCTTGGATCGGCTCGGGGGCCCCGGCCACGCTTACCTGGCCGAAAGGTGGGGTGGCTGCCGGAAAAAAAGGGTGGGGGGAAAGGGAGGTAAACGGGGCCCCGGGTGTCGCAGAGAGCAGATTAATGGTCCCAGAGAATTCTTGGTAGTCTATCCAGGGACCGGACTGCCTCCCCCCTCCCCTTCCCTGCGCTTCTGCCCGATGCCAGAAGGTCGTGGTCACGTCGCGTAGACCAGAAACGCACCACCCACGTGTTGGAAATTTCATTGGAAGCGTGCGAAGGCCGAACGAACCTCGAAACCACTTGGTTCCAGGTCGAATTTCGGATTTTTGTGAAATACGGTCGACTAGGAATTCATGTTTCTTCAATTGTTCGACTGAAAATTAATTACACCAATTTGGTAATCTTGGCTACTTCTAGAATGCGGATTTAACAACACGTTCACTTGTACCCATTTTACGGGAATTGGTCACTATCTCTGAATCTGGGTCAAGTTTTTCAAGTGACACTCGAAAGAGGAACGAGAAAAATATCATTTCCCCCACCCCCACCAGAAAACTGTACGATTCGTCAGGGAAAACAGGACGTCTAGAACGATTCTTGTTGTGGAGAGTGGTTGAGACTTTGTTATTTTCCGTTAAACGTTCGGGGTTACCTGGAATTTCCGGGGCTTTGTAAACGGTCGCCTTGCGGCCTCCCGGCACTCGGACAATGATACCTCTTGTCTCAAACTCTACCTGCGTGGCGAGTACCGAGTTACCTGAGTCTCTCTGTCCCCTGCTCCTTAGGCCGCGGTTAGGGCCTCGTTATTAGCTTTGTACCGTTTTCGAACCTGTTCCACGCGTCCTCGACAATTCAGAGTAGCCTCGTCGAGCATAAGAATTTTGGTTATGCTGGATCGTAGAGTAGTTCGTGGAGAGAGAGGTAGGTGTGACCTCTCCCCACAGGTGAAAAATGTGGCCACTTCTTCGTGTACCTTTCAACACGTGTTACTTTTTAATATTATTTATTAATTTTAGTAATAATAATAATAACGTCCCAAATATTATTATATTAATTTTTGTTTGCAAACAATACATTATAGGTAAAATATATTAACGTGTTTTCCGAGCATAGCTATATGGAATTGCTTGAAACAAAGTGTTCAGCTGTTTCCTCGCGGGGATGCTCGAATTTTTCGTCGTGGATCTCCCTATCTTTTTTTTTTTCCTCTGCACCGTCGTTGCCATTTTTCTTCATCCAGTTAATCTGGTATCTGCATCTGGCCGCACAACGGAGACCGTAGGACATTTCCTTACCGGGCACGAAACGATACCGAGTCGATTACTTTTTAATCCTAAATTACTTCTGCGGTAATCCAGTTATTAAGTTGCCGCGGCCTTTTCGAAGCTAGATTCACGAAAAAAAAAAAAAAAAATTGGCCCCCCCGGAAAGCCCGCGAATCCCCTTGTCGAGAGCTCTCGAGTCCCTCGAATATACGGACTCGTGGGGCTCTTTAATAATTCCGTTTAATGCGAAACTCACCGACGAAGCTCCCAGTCGAACGTATAAATCCGACTATTCCTAGATCCCCTTTCGTATTATGCGAAATTTCATTGGATTTTTTTCATCTGTCCAATTTCCGCTTCTGTTCGTTTCAGCGGTGATTCTATTGTTTCGTTTATATTTACAGCCACTTATTTCGACCTTAGAACGCATCGTGATGTAGGTATAATCGATCAATCATTGTTCGAAAATTGGGGAACGTTTACACAGAGAAAAAATGGCAGCAGGCTGCTCGTTCGAGCACAACACACACCGTCCAGACGTTGATCGTTTTAGCACGCGCCGCGCGTCAAGGTGGAAGACCATTCTTCTTCATCACGCCGTACAAATGCGCTCAACTTGACCCCGAACACGATAAATCGGATTTCTGGGCTTCTGTGATCTTAGCGGAATCAATTCTTCGGGACCCACCGACGATTTCGATCGCCGCGTGGAAAGTGAAATTGCCCTCCTCTCTCTCTCTCTCTCTCTCTCTCTCTCTCTCTCTCTCTCTCTCTCTCTCTCAGTGGACTTTGACGAAGATACGGATTCCCCAGCTGTCGATCGATCGTTTGCCAAATAGAATCGGACACCACCGTGTCCCGATTCCTTTAGTCTTCCAATGGTCTGAAAAATTCACCCCATCTTGTTTCTTTGTTCTGTGTTATGATTTAAGGGAACTACCCCTGTAGTAGCAGAGTGTTGAGATCGATCACGTGGGAAAGAAAAAATTCGTGGATCTGTAAGATAAATGTCCTAATTTCGACTAATTGAAGCGTCTACAATTTTTGTGAGCAGAAATGGGGACATCACGATACCTACTTAGTATTTTAATTAAAAAATGTAAATATGGTAAAAAAATCCCGAGTGGGATAACTTTTACCCCCGTAGAGTTTCTCGATTCCTCGCAACATTTCTTTCGCGATGTTTCACGACTGTATAATTAGATAAGTGCCGTGTGTGTCAGCAACTCCCCGAGTGGGAAAATTAACGGAGCAAAGGAAAATCGTGAAGGAATCAAAGGGTAGAAGGGTTCGTTGCAGGACTGACAGGCAAGCAGAAAAAGGGGGGTGGGGGTGGCCACGCAAAGTCCCCATGTCGGTTGCGTGGACGGACACCGGGCATCGGGCGCGCTCACGTGGATCCCCACCTTCGCTAGGTGCGTGGTCTGCTCCCCTCCCCCTAACCCACCCCCTTTCCAGCGAGCACACCTTTCTCTGTTCCTTTCGCAGTGGTTTCGGTTCAGTTTACCCCCTCCCAGTGTCCTCGCGTGGCTGTCCCCCTCCAGCGGCGTCGGTTCTGTCCTCGAAAGCTCAAGTCGTCGCGATCGCAGCGCCGCCAACGCCTGCTGCTCCGCAGTAACGCGATTGCTCTCGTCGAGTGTACAGGCGTCAGTTCGCGGACCGTGCCGTCACTCGTTCCGTTCCCTTCAGTGACACACTCGATGCCGCGCGTCGTCACCCGTGTTCTTGTTGTTGTTTTTTTTTTACTCTACAGCCTGGTGTACGATATTTAATCTCGCGGCAGCGGTGACTACTCCGAGTGGGTGGAGTTTTGTGGATCAATTCAAGTATAGTTTGGTGTGAAACCGCCGGGGGCAAGTTTTGTCCTTCGATCGTTTACTCAGGTGGGGGAGGGAATCCTTCCATCTGGACAGATTTTCGGAGTTATAAAAACGGGGCGAATCGGGGGAGGTGAGAGCCCGCGAAATTGAAGGTGTAGCAAGTTTCCGTCGAATAAGCGTCTCCACGGACTATGCCGAGACGCTGCTGCGGTGGAGGTCAGCCGGCTAGAAAGCAGCAGCGTGCTCGCGTGGGCCTGATGTTTGGGTCGCCTAACGGCGACTGAGCCCGCGCTACGGGATGCAAACGATCCCGCGGGATCCGGCTGCCTGCCAGACGGAGGCGAAGAAGGGCGCCAGGATGGGCGGGAGACGAGGTGTGCTGATGGTCCGCGACGTAGGTGCGCACCGCGACGCCGACGACGTGACGACCACGTGCCCCAGCGGATGCCTCGATGCTCGCTGGCACTAACACACACCCCCGCTTCAGGTGTACTACACACGTCCCCCGTAGAGGTATTGCTCTGGTGGTGGTGGTGCACGAGAGGTTAGAAACGGTGTGCGTGTGTGCGTGCGTGTGTGTGTGTATGTGTGTGTGTGGGATCGCGGGTGTGCCGGGTTTCTCGTATATGGCATATAAACAACGCTACTAACCGATTGTGTAATCGTAGATAGTGCGTACTTGTGGTGTTATTCGACTATAAAGTGCCACGTGACTTCCCGGATACTTTGGTGGTCTTCGTAGTTTTTTTGGAGTACCCGTAGCTTAGGACCCTGTTGCAACACTAGGGGGACTGTTAAAGGATTCTAACCGAAACAGGTGGCACGCGAGTGATCGTTTCCAAGTGTGAAATCGGCGGTAGGATCGATATAAGTGGGTGTTGGAACTCGTACGACTCGAAACTCGTGTTCCCGCCCAGCGAAGCTGACAGAGGTGCAGGATCCGCTGGAGGGTGGTGCAAGCCTGGGGGACTTGACTCGGGATATGTTGATACGTTGTCCAGCGCGCGAAATCTACCACTCGCTGAGTGTATCAAGAAACTTGAAACGGCTGTGCCACACGAAGTGCCGCGTCCCTTCCCGTCCGTACCAGACGACACGTGGATTGGTTCCGAGTTCGCGATCGATAGAGTATACCGTGTTAAAGTGCAGTGAACAGCGTTTAGGCCCACAGTTAATCACCTCGTTGTGATTATTCATCTCGTGATCCAGTGAGCTTCCTGGTAAAGAGATCGTGTGTGATAATAATCGATTCAGGATACTTTGACGTCTCCAAAGACTATATCCGCTCACAGGATATTATCGATTCCTTTAAACTCAAAAGTATATAGTGCGCGATCGGAAGGATCCCGAATATTCTACCAGCAACGAATCATCCGTATCGTCTGGTATCTCGAATCTAAGGAACCGGGGGATTGCCCGAGGAGAGAGAGGACAGAGATTCCCGCGCTCTCGTACCTCAGCGATCAAAACCGGCGGGGAGTTCCGAGGAGAGGGTGAAGGACGTCGTGGAGGGGGGAGTGATGCCGGTGAGGGTGGCACAGCGCCCCCCAAGTGGAATACCACTCCACGCCGGCGTGCCGGTAGCGCAAAGCAGCGTAACCGCCCCCGGTCCGTCGGGCCGGTGCCTCGGGGGCCCGGCAGCGCCCCCCGCCGGCTCGCCACCGCTGCCGCCGTCCTTGCAATCACTCGGCGGCGGTGTGAGCAACCCGAACAACAACAACAACAACAGCACCAACGGCCCCTCTGTGAGCAACGGGAACGGTCTGAATTCTGGCCACAATCTAGTTGGCACGAACAACACGGGCCAGCAGGTAATCAACAACACCAGTGGCCTAGGCGTAAACACGACCAGCGGCGCCACCACGAATCCCTTGCAGGCGATGGCGTCGGCAGCGGCCTCGCTCACCCAGCTGAACAACATGGCGAACGGCCCGCTGCCGCCGCTCGCGGCGACCGGACCAACCGGACCGCCTAGCTTACCGCCGCCCCAGCCGGCCACCACGCCGACCCACGGCGGACCGCCAACCCCCCACGCCGGTGGACCCCATCTGAACGGGGCCTCGCCGAGCCCTCACCCGATGCCGCCCCACGGGATCATGACCGGTTCACCTCATGCCCCCCATCCCCATATGGGCGGCGGTGGACCGTCGCCGCATCCGCACCATCCCGGTCCTCACATGGTCGGCTCGCCCCATCATCCTGGGCCGCATCCGATGGGCCCAGCCGCCGGTATGATGGGCCCCGCCGGTATGCAGCCCCAAGGGGCACCCGGTATGTGCGGTCCTGGACCGGCCGGTCCGATGGGACCCCATCCACATCCCCAAGGACCTGGAGTACCCGGACAGCCGCACATGCACAACGATCCCTTTTACTGTTCGCCTTTCGGATCCCACTACTTCAGGTAATTCTTTGGTCTATATATTTCTGGTCGGAGAAAAGTCTCGCGAGAATGAAATCGATTACCGTAATAAGGTCGCAAAGTTCTGGATAGAGATTGTTCGGGGAGGGGGGGAGGGGCACGATTTTGGGTGGTTTTCGGATTACTGTTAGGACTGGGTTAGGGTTGACGACACGCGCATTGCATACTCTCATGAGCGAACTGGGCTTCCACTGGGGGGAAATAGATTAACATATAGAAAACTATTAGAGTTATATAGATTAACATTCAGTTTAAAATTTCTTTCAATACTTGAAATCAATTTGCCAAGTGGATACGATGCCCTCTTTCCTGTGCTGCTATTTCCCCCAGCGGAAGCCAAATGTGCTCGTCGGTGTACGTACTCCATTTAATCTTGGTTTGGGAAATGGCTCTCTGCTGCGATACTCTCTGTTGTCGATCTTGGCATGTTCGCTTCCACTTGTACCATCGGAAGACCCATAATTTCTTATTCATACGCGAATCAATGAACGATCCATCCGCTCCAACCTGTGTCAATCATTCTGACGGAGACCCGTGTACAGTACGTGTCCACTTGGGGCGATCCTTTACCTACACACCTCGTCGATCGGCCAACGGAATAATTCTCAATAATGACGTATCGGGCGTAAACGCGTGTAAAAGCCGAAGAGAGAGAAATCAGCATATCTGCCTTCGTACACACGGAACAAAGAAACCCTATCTCGCTCGACATGGGAGCTTATCTTTCGTCCGCGAGCGCGCGGAGATTTGAACTTTGATTGCCTGTTTATGCAAATCTCTGCGAGAGTCCCTGCCTGCGCGTATTCTCTTTTATTCTTCCCGTTCGCGCAAACTTCTGTATCTCATCTCCCTGTCTTTCCGTGGCGGTTCGACGATAATGTCCTTGACGGACATATCACTTTTTCATCGAGTTTTTGTTTGCTTCATATATATATATATCTATATATATATATATATATATATATATATATATATATATTTTTTTTCCGTCGTCCATCGTGTACGTCGACGGAGAAAGACGCGCACGTGGCCCTCTGACATCTTCGCGGACGGATACGACCACGAAACTGCCGTGCACCCTCTTTACACAACTAAAGAAAAGAATCGCTTGAAAAAAAGAAAGCTTGAAAAGAATCAATCTTGCCGCGATTAGAGGACCCCTCACTCCGTGAAGGGGCGATATAAATAAATAATCTGTCGTTACGTATGGCCGTAACAATTTTTCGTCACGCAACACTGCACTCGTGCCACTGGCGAGGATGTTTCCGCGGTACACACCGTCGCTCTCGTTTCAGAGAGAGGGTCACGCAAACTTCCTGAAAATGATGTATATATAGTATGTCCGGTTTATAGTATTATCTCTATAAGTGTATGTCCACTATTATTGTGTAACTATCAAAAATGCGAAAAAACGTTTTATATAAAAGTTATTTGATTTTCTGGACTGAACTTAATAGAATTCTCTTTCTACTTGTTATTTACAGAGATTTTAACGACAATGTATATGTTTCAGTGGAAGTACATATTTTCATTATCGTCTTGTTTCGGTTAGCGTTATTTGCCCATAACGTGCCATAAATTGTTTTAATATTATTGCTCAAACAGACCTTCGAAATATATCGTTTAAATTTATCTTAAAATGCTTAATAATATGGCAATAATAAAAATATGTACTTTCATTTTTAAAAAATTAGAAAGAAACGTAAAATACCGATATTTTCGGTTGTACCTTTGATCTATACATACATATAACCCTATATAAACCGTACCCTTATAGAAATCGACAAAATACCGGTATTTATTTCGGTTTTCGGTAATATATCGGTTTCAGTATAGCTTTGATGGCATAATACCGGTATCAAAATCATACCGCTTTAAGTTCCTGAGAGAATTCTTGGTCGCGATCGTGGCGCAGACGATTCGTTTACGGCCCGATACCCCCCGTTCCATGCCACCAATCGTTCGGCAGTAGTCTCTCGGCTGGGCCCGTTCTCTCGGGCGTAGTAACAGTATACTCGAAGAATCCGTTATCATAGCTCGACCAGGATCTTCCTGGTGACCGTTGCCACGGTCGAACGTGGTAACGTGTGCCCGTCGAGTAAGTATCCTCATCGAAGGACATCGAAAAAATCGTCTATTAATCCCCGTTTATCCTCTTTGGTGACTGACCCCACCTCGAACGAGATGAGAAACCCTTTTGGCAGCCCACGAAATTCCCTTCAAGATTTCACCACGATTCTCCGAGTGCTCGAACGATACAATAAATAATCGATGAGTGTTCGAAGGTTTCTTGAGCGTTTGACTCGTTCTATAAGACCTCACAACCCTCCAGTGGTGGGGATGACGTCTGAACACTCATCGAGGATTTACTGTAGTTCGTTAACAACTTAATACAAATATATACACAATAACTAGACTGCAGATATTTATGCAAATATCGATTTTTGTGGGTTAATTTGCAGGAACTGGATTCACACCAAGATTTGTTTACATTCGTTACTATTCTATCAGTTTCCAAAGGAAGCAAAATACTTCAAAATTAGCTACTCCTGGCGACTTTGGCCAAGTTGCCGCGTAGTCAGGTGCCCTGAGAAAATTCTCCTCCTCGGACTTGCGGTTCTATCCGCGAGTTCAGGTGGCCCGCAGGTGGGAGGCGCGCAGGTGTACACCGCAGAGAAACGCGACTGCGTGTACACTTCCTTCCTCGTCCGGTGGAACGTCAGACGGCCAGAGAAGGGATACTTGGAGGGTCGACGGTGGCCGATATAGCCAGAAACCCGGGTGCGTGGCGTAGCCACCGGTGACGATTATCCGGTTCTTCTCCTTCGACCTTCCTTGTATCCGGTCTGGACGGTCTCTATCGGCTCGACATCATCTCCGTGCTCGCTGCCCCCGTCTGGGTAATCGCGAGAGCCCATTAACATAGACGTTCCACGCTGTTACATTCAGCAGGCTACTTTGTTTGAACAGTATTGACCATTTTTTTCTTCTTCGTTTTTCGTAGACGACTGATAGATAGAGAGACGACCTAATGTGCAATCGGATAAAATGATTCGTACTGTTAATCAGGGGAGAGAAACCTCGACTGTGGTGGTATTTGACAGATCTTGTAGCTCCATTGCACCCGATTAGTATACTATATTGAGTTTTATATTGGTGAATTATTGTTTAGGGTGGGGAGAAACACTCGAAATTATCTGAAAATTCTCGAGTGGTTTACATGACGAGGGCCTCTCAACCGTAGCAAATTGTCCCCCGCGAAGATATCTCGACACGAGGACTTCAGTGTGTTGGAATTTTGGTGGGAATTTAATTTTTTTTTCTGCAATATACCCACGTCGAGCGAACGAGGTCGTGCGCGAGAAACAGGAATAACACCGTGAAAGAGAGAGAGGCCACAAGCGGTGAGTTTGGTGCGCGAATCGGAAGTCGAACGCCGTTCGTCGCTGGGGTCTTATCTTATCGCGGCCTCTCTGGGTAGGATAAGAAGGACCTTGATCGCTTCGCGACAAACTGAATCGACACCTTGGTTCTCTTCGCAACGCGCGCAAAATTCTCACAATACGTATACCTCTTTCTCTTGCCACGTTTTATCGAGGAAACTTCGTCCGACAGCGAATATATCTGGAGCCCAGAGCCAGAGTATATTAAATCACACGTACCAAACTTTAGAGGGGAGGAAATCAAAGGTGTAAAAACTTTGTGACTGTGGAACCCTTCGGTAAAAATTCAACGAGAAACGATCTGTTTGGTCGGGGTTTTTCTTGAATATCTCGTTAACAAAGCCTGGGATTACATTTTTCCTAAGGAAAAACTTGTTTCAAATCACCTCACGAGTCTCCCATTTCCGAGTCCTCCAACATTTTTGTTACACCCTCTATAATTACCAAATGCTGTTTTAAATAAGACCATAAAAAATTGTGGAAGGAAATGTAGAATTGGGTGTCTGGGTACAGTTGCCCACACAAGAGTTAATACAGTCTGGATCTGGGGTTCCGATATAGGTAGTGATCTTGAACCGTGATAATAATTGTCGGAAGTGATCTATATCAGGACAAAAATTGGATCTGTAAACGATTTTCCGTTCAGAAACATTCGAATCTTTGTCTAACCATCGATCTCTATCGAATACTAGTGAAACGAGGGGAAACGATCGAGGAAAGGAATATTCAAGGCTCGCGGATAACGTTTTGCGGTTCGAGTGAATCGGCGGATGACGAAGAAGGAATAGCATGGAAAGAGGAAAGGTTCGTTTCGTCGGGCGAGGCACGCGAGCAGAGAGAGATACCGGATCGGAGAACGCATAAAGCCGTGTGCAGGCAGCGTATCAAGCCGTATCGCTGGTCGGTTCCAGTTTCACGTGAAACTGTCCGCGCAACCGGGCAGGTTCAAGGCAAGCCTGAAAAGTGGAATGCACGTGCGTGCACGCGGGAAACACCTTATACCTTAGTCGTGAATCTTACCGATGAATCCTGATGAAGTGGAATTGATATCGTAACCCTTTTAGATTCTATTCCGACCATAGACCTGGTTCGATCGTTGAGCATATTGAGCTTCAAAAATGATCTCTTCTCTTGGTCTAGTGGAGAGTTCGGGATGTTCGGCTCCGATTTGATTCTTCGGAAGATCCATTCCATACGTCACCGACATGTATAACGCATACAATGGCTAAAAATATTGGGACCAGAGTTCACGTTTTATGAAACAGTGACTTATTAATCTGTTACGATTAAATAGAAGTTACGGAATCAGTAGAAATCACTTTCAATGCATGTGTTGTACATGGCAGTATGGCGTGTTAATCAAGGGAATTGATCTTCCAAAGAATCGACTCGGAATCGTAGGGCCCTACGTGACGAGTCTTTGGTGGTTCCCATGGAACGATAATCATTTGCTTGATTTAAACCTGGTTAGGATAGATAGAACATGGTCCTGTATACAAGGTGTTCCACCTAACGTAAGCAAATTAAATATCTCGCTTGATTT